CTTTCGACGTTATCAGAATCGAGTATATTTTCCCAATCAATGCTTGACAGCACATCGGCAATGCTACGATGATCGGCTTTCCGGAAATTGTAAGACACCGTAGTGGAGATGTCTTCGGGATCCCGAATGTGATTGTCTTCAACAGTAATAGCCAAAGGAAGATGATGAGGAACTTCCTTTACGAGATGATGGATGGAGTCGTATCCTGAGCGCTTACGAAACAGAGGTCTAAGCTACGATTGTTCTCGTTAACAACACGGGATTGATTTGAGATAACGTCGCTGCGCTATAGCTGTCGAGAAGGCTAACTGTTCTAGGATGGAAGGCAGAACCAGCGGGGTCCGGAAAGAGAAAGCCACTGTGGGAAGGTTTCCACGAAACACCAGCGAGATTAAAGTCGCCCAGAACAATAATCTCATCGATAGGTGACGCACAATCTAATATGGTGGAAACGGATCGACAATGAGTTTCGATGAGTTCAATGTCGCGATCCCGGTCGGGTGCAATGTATATCACACATAAGTACAGTGTGTGATCGCTCAGCTTGACAGCTACCCATGCCTGTTCAAACGAAGTTCCACATGTCGTGCTCTATGGCTCTAGCATTCAACTCGGACCGAACAGCAATCAGGACACCGCCACCAGTGGACCACCAGCGGGTTTCGATCGCAGCGAAATACCTCGTACACTCATCCGAACGCTTGGCTGGCGTTCGAGAGTCTAGCCGTGTCTCGGTTAAAACTATTACATCGTAGCAACGGTCCGATACAGCTAACAGGTACTCGTGAACGTCAGAATTCATTCCACCGATGTTTTGGTAGTACATGGTGATATCCTCTCTTCGACGTATATCCGTGCTACGCGGAGCGATGACCCTGGAAATCACGGGGGCGACAGGTAGCAAACGAACATTACTATTACCAAGAGGATGGTACCTCCTCTCCACAACCGACCGTAGGTCCGGAACGTCTGTGATGAACGGAGGCGGCAGAATGCAGGACTGCGTCAGAGGGATTAGGGGCTTCCACAGTGCTTTCTACGGTGCGTTCCGGGTGACTAGCTGCAACGTTTCCTTCATCAGCAGCATCCGGCACGCTGAAATTCGAACTGACATCAGGCACTGTTGAATCGTAATCGATTGGATACTTGCCGGACATAGTAGGTTGGAAGACCCCCGATACGCATCTAAACTCAGGGCCGGGACGGCTATGACGAGCGTTTATTTAAATTATTAAATTAACTCCTGTTCATAGTATTCATCAAATAATTTTTCAGTCATTTTAATGTTCAAACTGACTGCTACTGTTGGTGGACATCATTGAGGATCATTATATCATATTTGGAAAAACAGATTTCTGAGAATATGTATGCCATTAATTCTTCTGTACAGCAAATAATGTCATGCTTTTCAACAAAATGTTTAAGCTGTTTACATTCACGAAACATGTTCACGACCTTCATGATTAATTTGAGCCATGTTATGACAGTTCATGATAAGTGCATCTTTTGAGACTACAGGGCGGACTCGATTATCCGGAGTCTTGAAAAAAATTTCACTCCGGATAATCGAGCCCTCCGGATAATCGAGCCATTAAAAAAAAAATTTTTTTGGTCTCATGTGGTCTCATTTAATGTTTTTAGTGGTCCCATTGAACGCTATTGAAGGATTATGGAATCGGACCACTGGTTTCGTAGATATGGCCGGAACAAGTTCCGGCGTTTATGGGCCATGAGGCTAAATTTTACTTGAAAGGAACAAAACCCATTAAGAGACACATCAAATTAAATCAAAATTTGATATCAAGATCAATGGTGGCAAACATTAAGTACCTTGGACCATATTGGCCACTTCCGGGCAAGTTCCAGGTGCCTCCGGAAAAGTGGCCAGAACCAGACTTGAATAATAACCTATCATGCGACACATCAGATTATATCAAAATTCGATAACCAGATCAATGGTGGAAAAAATTAAGTACCTTGGACCATATTGGCCACTTCCGGACAAGTTCCAGGTGCCCCTGGAAGTGACCAGAATCGGACTTGGATAATAACCTATCATGAGGCACATTAAAATACATCAAAATTCGATAAGAAGATCAATGGAATTGAACCCCATGGACCATCCGCTTGAGAAGCGAACGTGTAGCCAACCACGCCATTGGACCCCTCAACTTGAGAAAAATCGTAATCTCGCTACTCTCACGAGTGTGTAGAGACAAAGTTGAGCTTGGCTAAAAATCACGGCGTGAAGGCACCATATTTGACGCGGTTCCTAACTTGACGCACTCGATCAATTTCGACCATTTTCCATTAATATTTTTGAAATGTTAACATTGCAAATATTAGTTCCGGTGCTCTAGGGATGATAGTGTAACAATTCAACTGATGGTTGCTGATAAAACGGCTGCAGGCGAAAATGAAGACGAGAATGCGGAATTCGATGTTATGTCTGATGCTGACATAGTCAATGCTGATCTTAACCCTCCGTTACTCGCGCCAACGCCGCCAACTTTTATAACACGAGAAAATTACTGTCAAAGCATTTTTGGCTGGTAAACAGTAGTTAAGAATTTTCTCACCACGTGGCATAGATGTACACTTCTTGCATATGCTATATCTCGAGATCCTAATCAGATAGAAAGATACTGTCTGCAACAAAGTTATTCAGGAGGTCAAAGTCTTTTGGCTGGTGAACAATAGTTTAGAATTTTCAAGGCTCTAGGCTTTGAACTCCTGAACAACTTTGTTCAAGACAGTAACTTTCTATCTGGTCAAGAACGTGAGATATTTTATATGCGAGAATTTCACATGTATACTAGCATCATGAAGTGAGAAAATTCTGTAAAATACTGTCCACCAGCCAAAAGACCTTGACCTCCTGAACAACTTTCTATCTGATCAGGATCTTGAGATATAGCATATGCGAGAAGTGTACATGTATACTAACGCCGCGTGGTGAAAAAATTATCAACTACTGTTTACCAGACAAAAATTCTTGACCCCCTAAACAACTTTGCCGAAGACAGCAACTTTCTAGCTGATCAAGATCTCAAGCTATTGAATATGGGAGAAAGGCACGTATATACTAGCACCGCATAGTGAGAAAATTCTAAACTATTGTCACCCAACAAAAAGATCTTGACTTCCTGAAAAACTTTGCCGAATACATTTACTTTCTATCTGGTCAGGATCTAGAGATATTTTATATGCAAGAGTTTCACATCTATAGTAGCGCCGCAAAGTGAGAAAACTCTGAACTACTGTCCACCTGCGAAAAAGACAGTACCTTTCTATATGGTTTGGAACCCGAGATATTTTATATGAGAATTTCACGTGTATACTAGCGTCGCGTAGTGAGCAAATTCTGAATAGGCTTTGATCTCCTGAAAAACTTTGTGAAAGACAGTAACTTTTTATTTGGTCAGGATCTCGAGATATATCACATGCGAGAATTTCACATGTATACTAGCGCTACGTAGTGAGAAAATTCTGAACTACTGTCCGCCAGCGACAAGGCTATGATCTCCTGAACAACTTTGTCAGAGACAGTAACTTTCTATCTTGTCAGAATCTTGATATATTCCATGTTGTAACCAATTAAGTCAAATCCCACGTAGTATGGTCACAGTTTTCGCGGTTTCCATTTACATTTTCCCTATTGTCCGCATTTTTTAGGTGTTTACTGTAATCAAAGTTTAGCTTGTTTAGATCAAAACAAGTTTTTTGAGGAATACTCGTTGGTTTCAGATCGATTGGTAACTCAGCAACAAAATGGCAATGGAAAACTCATGTGTGTTGTACAAAGGACAACAGCACGAGTAACGGAGGGTTAAAGACCCTTTGGTACATTTTTTTTTACGGATCTTCAAAAATTTTGGTTGCCATTCCCCGCCCCCCTGCAACGTGACGTAATTAGTGAACGGACCATCATGGGATTCAGTTTTTGTATGTTGTTGTGGCACATGATATGTTTGATTCCTTTCAGGTCAAAGTTAATCGAAAACCCTTTAACGCCGGATTTTGTAACAAAGGCACACAAACACTTAAATATAGTCATTTCCCGATCTTGTCAGACTGTTAAAATATCAAGGAAAGCATTTTTTTCATCGACAGATGCAAAAGAGAAGCTTCGTTTTTTTTTTTAAGTTGCGCCCAAATTAAGACAAAATTGAATAAATCAGCATTATAACTCATCTACTTCTAGTTTACAGTTCAGGCTAAATAACAGCACGAGATGATTTTCTAGCATTAGTGCATTGGAAAACTCAACTTATCCAAACGTAGACATTACATAATTCAGTTGAATATACATCACAAACTTCACCAACATGGGTGTTTCAAGAGCTGTAAGAAACTGATTACCAATATCTTATTTTCATTAACTCGGGAGGACCTTCCAACTGGTTGATCCAACCCTAAATCATTCTTCAAGATCTTTAAACTTCCCTGCAAGTCTAGAATTTTTTGATATTTTCACTAGAATTTCCAAAATATTTTCACATAGGGTAAGGTGGGGCAAGATGGGTCAGCTAGTACATTTTTTAATTTATGTGATTGTTAAAATCATCAGGTTTAAGGCAACCCCAATGATGATTTGCTTTTTCAAACCAGCATTGAGGGTACATTAAGCCTGTCGATGTTGACATTCAATAAAATTAATAAATTAGGTAGATAACCCATCTTGCCCCGAGACTCATCTTGCTCCACATTACCCTTCATTAAGATTGATGACTCTGAGCCCCCATTTGGGGGTCCTGGCTTTAGCCCTGCCATTAAAACGGCACTGGTTCAATCACCAGCCAAGATTAAAAAAAAATCAATCCAATGTTTCAAACAATATTGTCCTTTCAAGTAGATCCAATCAAATCTCTGGTTATTTTTCGTTTTTTCCCGGCTATTTTTGATTTCCGGTACATTAACTTTTAGCTTTTCTTTTACGTTGCTAACATTTCCGAACAGCAGCGTTAACAGTTGAAACCAACTCAGTCAATCACACTTACGGATTCTCCAGCATCCGCAGGCACACCTTCGCCATCGTCCCGAGCGTTTCCGTCGTATTGTCCACATTGTCGGAGTTGTCCTGCACGAACTTGGACGTCGCTTCGCTCAGCACCTTGAGCATCGGAGTGGCGTGTGCGTAGAACAGGGACATTCGATTCGCCAGCTCGGTACTGACGATCAGCTCGTTGCTGTGGTCTAACCGCTGCCGGCTGGCAATCCGCCGGTAGTAGCTGAAGTCGTTCTGAATGGCGGGTGTTTTCATCTAAAACAAAAAAAAAAATAGCAATTAATTTCAGTTTGAACCATGCCTAGTTGACGGCTTTGCAACTACCTTGTACTCGTCAAACTTCAGCACAAACTCCAGAATTTCTGCCAGCTGCTTGACGAGGGCTTGCTGTGTTTCCAGGTGCTGTGTGGGATTGAGTCGACCGCCAACCAGCTGCCCCAGCAGCATCGGCACTATCCGTTCCAGTTCCAGCGAGTGTTCGTAGCAGCGTTTCAGCTTCTCCACCAGGGGTATCACAATGTTCCACGCCTTTTCCTGGCACTCGGGCGATGGGTCTGCGATGGCTTCACGGATTTCCTTACCGGCACCCTGGACGACGGGAGAGAGAGGGGAGGGAAACAAATGGAATTAATAATGGTTATGTAAGTTGATGTGTTATCTCAGGAGCACGACAACCACCCGCACAAATTAAGCTGAACAATGCATTAGGTCCTAAGCAACAATGACAGATTCTCTTCGTCGACTTTCTCGTTGCATCCTCACGGCCATGTTAAGACATTCCCAGCACACAGATCGATTCTAATACGACAAACACGACAAGAAACGGTTCTGTACAACGGAAGAGAAAGTCGATTAAGAGAATCGATCAATTTTACTTAGGTCCTACTGCATTGTTCAGCTTGAAATGTCTGGTTGTGTGTTTGAATGTCATTTGCGATATGAGCACATGGGTAAGCATAAAAATAGACCTCAACCTCCAACCAATGTTTTTTTCCTATCCTCTTGCAGTTGCATAAATATCGTCGGATTTCTGTGTTATCTTTGTCCACTCGAGGAGGAGCGGTTGTTTGTTTCCATTTCTCACATTTACTAAACATACTTGTTTCACACGCACAGGAGGATGTAAATAAACACAAGCAGCGTAAAAATGATCATAAGCGTCTACGAAAATGAGGGGGGGGGGCTCAACGAGTACAATATAAATGCCAGACTGAGGAATAAGTGATTCCAGTGCAAATTCCTTTCCAAGCAGTAGAATGACAGGAACAGAAAAAGATAAGAAATACGAAATGATGGCCCAAACCTGTGCACGTGACTGCACAAAATATGTATCACGTGAGTGCAAACAGCGAGTAGTTTGGTGTTAATGTCTTCTTTTGGCGCTGGCCGAAAACCAAAACCATACGCTTCTTCGGGCTGATTGTTGATGTTTTCTTTTTTGGACAGACCGCAAGCGAAGCAAGCACAGCCGCAACATCGTCGGCAGCACGTGGTTCCGTGTTCGATCAACGGCCGATGAAAGAATGTTGTTGTTGTTGTTTTGAAAAGCAAGTGTGTACTTTGGCATAAGGTATACAAAGCAAGGCACACGCACGCAGACACCCACCAAAAAGAAGAGTGATAGTTTTACAAGTTTGAAAATTTGTTTTCCTTCGCGAGATTTGGTTGTTGACAGGAGGAATCTGATACTTTGATGGAAACAAGATGTAAATCATGTTGCAATGTTTAGATTTCAGTCATTTCCTGAAGAGGCTTGGATATGTTTCACATCGAAAATATGGATCTTCGTTGTTGCTAATATAAACACTGACTCACTTGTTGCGAGACGCAGTAAGACTTACAATTCAAACGGCAACATTCCAACTTCACAGAGATAGCACTCTGTGGAGGTTACTTGGGTTATGGAATGATAAATAATAGCTAATTCCTCTTTTCTTTTTTGCTGCACCACTCCAATGCATTTCTCTGAGGTTCTATATTTACCTATGGCCAAGTTTGCGTGCGTTATATCGTGCAAGGAATAAATTAACGTTGTTGTGTGCATCCACTCTTTCTAGCTAGTATCGTAATAAATGTTCTTTGAAGCGTGATTTAGACCATAAAACTTGTACACGATGGTAGATGATTGTAAATACCGGGTACGTGCATCGTAGATACATTTTCTTCAATTGCTTGCTTTTGATTGCCAGTTGTAGCTATCTAATCTTTGCATTCTACAGCGCGCCATATTGTTGCTATCGATATAAATCTCTGTGTCCTATTAGGAAAATAAAGGATTTATTATTACACATAAGAAGCGTTGAGATGAGACAATTTCCACAATATTAATCGTTAGGGCGTTAAGGATATTTTGAAAAAATGTTAGTTTTGAATTGACAAATCCAAGTTTATGCCGGCCACCGGGGCGCTGTAATCGTAGAACAATTTTACATATTGAAGCAATCAAAACAATATATTGTTCCATCCGCAGGAACATCATCTTTCTTATAGCTGAATCCTCTGCGAAACCATTAGGAGGTAATCACGCCTGGTTTGGTAGATTCAGACGAGCGGGACAACAAAGGCAGTACCAAAAGTGCCTGTGTCGCAGACGGCATTGGATAGTTTGCCTGATCACCAGGAATATAACCGAGCGGAAACCCTTTCTTCTCTGGCATAAGTAGATTCTCTCTGGTAAGTAGAATGAGATATTTAAGTGCTAAATTATTGAAATAGCGTTGAAATAAAATAAAAATCGTAGAACAAACATGATAAAACCAACGAAATTCCTGCATGCTTCCGTATTAAACCAATAACCAGCATCGGATGCCTGTATTGGAATACATTTTACAAGGGGCTCTTTTCTATTTTTATTTGATATGGTTGCCCAAGTAACAAATCTAGAGCTGCTTGGCTATATTCAAAATTTATAAAGGTTTTATTGCAGCTGCAACCATTACCTACAGCTTTATGACGGTCATATACAATGCAAGTCATGGAACATTTTATAGCTATCTATAAAAAAAGCAACTAATGCTTGTGCTATTTTCACTTATTAAAGGTTTTATGATTGCCTTGAAGTATAAAAAAAGCAATATGAATTGCCGTTATAAAACCCAAAAATAAATCCTTATATTGCTATATACTGCCGATACTCGCATAATTGTCCCATCTTTGCTTGATTTCCTATTCATATGGGACAGTTATGCTTTTATGGGCAGTATAAGTAAGCGCAATAAAGCTAGTTGGCCATGAAAAAGTTATTTTAAAACAATTATAAGCATTCAGTTGCAACTTGTCAGAAGTGTAAATGTGCGGTTTATTTCTACAACATAGAAAAGAATCAGAACTTTCCGGTATTTCCAAGCGGAGTGCAAAGAAAATCAACAAGATTCTTAGCATGAGCCCGTTTATTTGCTACAGTCAGCCGCAAACCTTCGTGAATAACTCCAACCAAGAAAAAAATGCCGCTGCATTTTCTGCGGATGTCACCAGCTGTAAAGAGTGTGCTTCCTCACCATTCCATTGGTCGAAATACATGGAGTGGTGACAGTTCTAGGACAAAAAAGTTGAAATCACGCATAACTTTTCATAAAGGTTAATGTACCATTCAAAACTTTTCCAAATGTTTGTAAAATTCATCGGTTGCACCCGTAGAGTAGGAGTATACATTTGCCCTGAAATTAAAAAAATGAATTGCTCTTGTAAAAAGAAAATAGTGCTCGTAATAAAATCATGCATTATGATTTTCTGTTCTGCTTTCATTCAATGCACACTGGCACTGGGCCAGGAATGCAACTTAGCGGAGCAAAATTAATAACTCCGAAACGAAGCATTTTTGCGACTTGGTGCCTTGGGCAAAGTTTCTCATAATAATAAGGACCATCTATTGACATAAATAAATAGTTCAAAACTCTTCCGCAAAGATGGCGCCACAATCTAACTTCTTTCTCTGACGTTTTGGAGACTTGATGTCTTCGGCATAGTTGTTTATCTTGACAAAATGAACAGCTCTTTCACAGACGTGAAATTTCCACAGCCTACTGGTTCCAAGTTATATGGAGTTAAAGAAAAAAATGTCGAAAATATGGTTTTTTCTTTCTGTTTTGGTTTTTTGCTTACAACCATATAATGTTGTATTTTCCTCTTATGCAAATGCATTAAATAAATAACTTTTGTGAAGAAACATACTGGATTAAGTTTCAAATTTTAAAGATATTGTTGAAAAACGAAAAAAAAACAACTATTTTTGAACTTTAATATCTCCCTAAGCGCAAAAAATCGCAATCTGATATTTTCAGCAAAAATTAAGCAATACTCAATAAACAAAATATTAAAATTTTAGAGAGGTATATTTTGATGTTTTTTAGATTTCTTCATTTTAGTGGAACATGATTTTTTTTCTATAATTTTTTTTAATGCATTGAAATGGCTTAACACTTAACTTTGCCGAAGACATCAAGTCTCCAAAACGTCAGAGAAAGAAGTTAGATTGTGGCGCCATCTTTGCGGAAGAGTTTTGAACTATTTGTTTATGTCAATAGATGGTGCTTATTATGATGAGAAACTTTGCCGAAGGCACCAAATCGCGGAAATGCTTCGTTTCGGAGTTATTAATTCTGCTCCGCTAAGTTGCATTCCTGATCCAGTGTGCCATGCATTAGACATTTTAAGAAATTGCGCTTGGTGTTATTCTTGCCTGTTGTCCTCTGTCGCCATATTGTCATTATGAAAATGCCATTAGCCTTGGAATAAAATCCAAGAAATTTCAATAAAATAATGGCTAAATTAATTAAATAAACTGGATACAATATTACTCTTAAAGAGGCTATGAGAACCTTTTGTAGAGTATGAGGCTTTCTGACAAAAGGTTTTAAGACAGCTTTATTGTGATTCTCAAACATGCTTTATAAACCTTATCAAGAGTGGTCCACTAAGCTGTATGACGATCTTATAGCGGTTATCAAAAGGTTGTGCTGGAGCTATTAGTTTTATTGGCGGTTTTATAAAACTGATCTCAAAAACCGCTAATAGAGTGCAATAAAACAAGAAATGCTACTTGGGTGGTCACGTCTCCATATCAACAATAATCGATGTGGTATGGCTGTTAACATAACCATGTCCATAGCCTCATCATGTTTTTTCAATTTTATTTGAAAATTAGTAATTTTATTTTAGGATCGCAATAGTTTTTTTTTAGGTTTTGTACAAAATTCATTCATTTTAATAGCATATTTACACGAACTAGCACTGTAATTTAACAAATTTCCATAAAAATAATGAAATTTCCAAGGGCTATCACTAGCTGATCACCGTCGTATAGTGCTTATTCGCATTAGTTTAAGTTGGATTCGTGAATTATAAGCTTGAGTCATTTAATATCTGCACGCACTGTTTATTTTACAGCAGTGCTCCTAGCGGTCGGATCTGGAATGTTTTGACAGAAGCTTATTTTGAAATCTTTCCTCTTTCAGTGCTTGAATGTTCGGAACGTTTAAAAGAAGTTATACTTGATGGAAGCCGCGAACCGAAAATTAATTTTGGACACCCACTTGGAAAATCCAACGTGGTCAGCTGCATTTGAAGGTGTTGAGAACGGTTAGGGCAAA